CCTGCTACTTTTATCCACAATACATCTGCTTACCTGGCATCTGCTTGCTTTTGGGCATCTGTGATTTCTTTCCAGGAATGGTAGGCTTAAATATGAGGGAAACCAGTTTGGTAGGGTAAGATGTTGGTGTCTGCCTATATGGTTTCCTTTCAAAATAACTCTGAAGAGCTTTTATTGCCTTTTTTTTTTTTTTTTGCTTTTGGGCATCTGTGATTTCTTTCCAGGAATGGTAGGCTTAAATATGAGGGAAACCAGTTTGGTAGGGTAAGATGTTGGTGTCTGCCTATATGGTTTCCTTTCAAAATAACTCTGAAGAGCTTTTATTGCCTTTTTTTTTTTTTTTTTCCCCCTCTCCTCTCTCCTAATTGGAAGTGAACAAAAAGGAGCCAGTGGGTGACATAAATCTTGCACTGGACACATGAGCTGGAGCCTCAATCTAGAGTTGCATCAAAGGGAATACTTAACAGTCCAGCTCAATAGACGTATCTGGTCCTGGGCAGCAACAGCTGGATGCCATCCCAGTGGCAGCAGAAACCAGGGTGCTTTAACCAAACTGACCCCAACAGTCTCTTTTCTGAACTGACAGACTTAAATTTTTACCTAATGCAAGATAGACTGCTGACTTTTTCTTTTCCCCTATCCAAGAAGTGAGAAACATCACAATTTATGGTAGTAGATGATCAATGGTTTTCCACTAACATAGCTTATGGGGCAAGGAACAGGAGATGGGATTGGGAAGCAGGGCACATCCAGATTGTTTTCATTTCTGAAGAGTGGATTTTAATTTCTTGAAGAGCTGCTGCTATACCTTATACACTGTGTGACTGTTGAAGCTTTTCACTTTATTGCTCTTTAAGTACCATTTTTAAGAGACTGAATTATTTCAGTCACTTTCTTAAAATTTTACCAGTCAGTAAAATTCTGCCTCTGCTTGTTTCTTTAGGGCTGTCAAAACATACAGCAGTTGTTGAGGATAGGGATTTATTAAAATTTGTAAATTTTCTACAAGCCCTTTTAATAACTGTGGTAATGTAATTTTTTAAAGGAAAAATTCAAACTTTTCATAACTTTAATCCTTAGTGAAAGTGACTCTCTGTAGATAAGAGCTTTAAATATAGCCATATGTACTATATTGGCATGTTCTTTTCCCTTTCTCACACTTACAACAAAACACAGAAATTAATTTTTCCTACAGTGCACTTAAGACCACGCACTGATGGATAGCTGGTTGGACACATATCTGCTTCATGGCAGACTCAGCACTGTGTTACCTGTCTCTGTATTTCCTTGTTATAGCATGCGTCCCAGAAATTAATTGCATGCTACTGTGATATTACATAAAATCATAGCATAATTTAGACATGAGGGGACCTTTCAAAGGTCTCTGGCCCAAACCTAATAGAGTGTACCACCTCTTTGACCCCAGCCCAGTGTTTGTGTGCCCTCATGATGGAAACTAATAGAGTTGGGGTTTCCTGTACGTTATCTGCTTCAGCCCCTCAAACACCTAGTAGTCTCCCTAGGACTTGCTCCAGTATTTTAATACTCTTTATGTATTCTGAGAAGCCTGAAAGTGGGCACAGTGTTTGAGATGTCTCTTCAGTGCTGGTTAGAGGACATTCATTCCTTCCTTCAAAGCTTGGTTATGGTTATGTAGACATACCCTAAAAGAAGTTTAAAGGGATGTCAGGAGACATCCTGCTGTGATGAGTTTATAATGCTGGGATTTGACATACTAAAATACAAATTATTTGATGGCCTCTGTGGCTAATGTTATCATGGCTCATGGAATGAAGAGTAAATTTCTGTGTAACTTCAAGCTCTGAGATGAGAGCTGTCTCTTATGGGTGATGAGATGGGTGTCTTTTCAGTTTCAGCTCACTTTTTTTTTTTTTCTCATTAAGACATCTAGAGGAATGCTAGCATTTAGTTGGGTCCAAACTGTAGTGTCTCTAAGCAAGTTCACCAGATGGGTGTGTGAATTGCTGCCATTAGGAGTGGTTAGTACCAGAAGATAAGCAGGTAGGTAGGTTGCTATATTGATTCCATTGGAATTTTCACTAAGGCTGAGTCAGGATCCTTAAAGTCCAGAACCATGAAACAGTGTGTCCAGTATACTGTGTGTAGCGAGACATTTTCTTTGCTGTTTTCAGGTAACCATCACTGTAATTGGTCTGCACCCTACCAGAATCGCTGCATCCTCTTGCAGTGTCACCAGCTGAGTGTATGCCAGAATGCCAGAGAACAAGACATCAAATATCTGCTTGGAGGTAATGCCATCATTTAGGCTTGTTCTAAATCCAGGTTCCTGGTCCTTTTGCTTTAAATGCCTGCATTTAGATCTTGCCTGGCTTTCAGCTGAGGGAGATGGGTTGTAAAATGCCTGCAGGATGATTCTGTAAGTATAGTCAATTCACTGGAAAAACTGTTTTCACTACCCTTGTAAGGTCTCTGGAACCTACATGTGTATGATGGGTCTTTGACAGAGTAACAGTTTCTCTTCACGTAGAAGACATAATTTAAGTCATTTGTACTCCATGTGCTGTCCTTTGGAAAATAAAGGCATAACAGATGTATTTATATTTTTTAAGAGAAAGGAAAATGTCTTTATGTTATTTTTTTTTCTGAGATTGCTAGGATTTTGCACCAGAGGTAACAAGCTGCTTCTGTAATCAGAGCATCGTTAGCAGAAATTGAACATGGTTATTTTCCAGTGCCATGCGCTTCAATTTTAATTGACAGAATAACAAGATGAAGCTTGTTGATAATTGGAAAATCAGTCTTCTAAAGTATGTTTCAAGAGTTGGCTGTACCCAAGTTGGAAAAGAGAAAGTTCTTTTGGGTTGGCAAAGGTTTCTCTGCAACACAGCAACCAGACCTTTGATAAGCAGAAGGGATTTCTGTTACTATAAATCCAGATCACTAATTATGAAGGAAATTCTCCTGAAGTATGAAGATGTACGTAGAGATTTTCAATCAGTTTTGAGAGCTGAGTATTATGAATCTAAGTGCAAAGACTTTGTCAATGCTATGTAACTTGAAAGAACAAGTCTTCTCAGGAGCTTGCATTCATAACTCTGCTCCTGTTGATAATGTGCTTCTGCATTGTAGCTCTACTTCATTACTCCCCTTTTCTGGAGTTAATTCCCTGGTTGGGCAAATACTAGAGATCTGTGTCAATAAAAAAAATCACCACCAAACAAAAAACCACAACCCCAACAAAAAGAAAATCTCAAGGCAGCATCTTGAGTTTTCATGTTCTTGCTGACTTTAGGAATGATTTATTCCACTTGTACTACATATACTGCAGAATACGTGTTCTGGTTTGCATGTTGGGGATATGAGGTCAGATTTGAGCTTGACAGTTTTATTCTTATGAAACCCATTGGTTTTCTCTTTTTGAAGAAATTGTTGGTGGGAAGAGGGAAACAATTTTGTTTCGTCATCAAACCTACCCACAGAAAAAGAAGAGGATGGTAAAAGTACAGGTTGACCAACACAACGTAGAAAACTTGGTTTTCTCAACTGCTCGGACTCAGAAGATTCACTTGAGGCATTTAGTTGAGGTTAAGAATGAAGATGTAACAACAAATGGAAGAAAAACAATTGCAAGCAATGCAACCAGCACCACAGCAACCACCACCACTGCCACGGCCATAGCGATAAGTGTTACACATGCAGCTGTTCTCACTACAGCTTATCAAACAACTGTCAAAGCCTCAAATGTCCCTGGAGATTCTGATCTCCTTGCTGAAGCCGTGTCATCCTCTGCCACTTCTCCCACTTCTGGTAACATCCCTGTTTCTACTTCCAGCAATGTCACAAAGCTTGTGACCACCACTGAAAAATCAGGACATAGTAGCTCTGTCTCAGGATTGTCCCCCATGTCTGCTGCTTCTCCTCTCAGTGTAATTTCTGAAGCAGGTACTCCAAAGCCTCCAACAGACCAGTTTAACCCAGCCACCACCAGCACTCCCCACTCTAGTAGCCACGCCACTGTTGGAGCTGGCCTGAATACACCAAGCACGACATTGACCACTTTCATCCCACAGGATGCAGGAATGTCTTCCACTGCTTCCACTCATGCCATGGCACTCAGCCCCTTGGAGGATTCACACTCTGTGAATTCACTGCCTGGCATTACATTGCTATATCTAGAACCAGAAGCAAGTACAGCCACAACATCCTTGCATAAATCAGCTTACATTCTGGGGTCTACAAGAGGTGCCATGGTTTTAACTACTGCCTCTACAGCAAAAACTACTACTGTGAGAGAGATAAAGTCAACATCTTACATTTTTTCAACAACTGTGACCCCAGCAGTTGCACCCAAAGCAACAGTTTCAGGCTTTGAAGAAACTCAGAACACGGACAGTGAGTATCTTCTCATTGCTGCCGAGCCCTTAACTCAGTACTTAGTGGATAAAAGCTTGCTTCTTGGATTACTTTTAGTTGGTACATTTTTTTTTATAACTGTTGTAGTTCTTTCCCTTATGCAGACCTATGAGAGATACAGGAGGAAGGATTACACACAAGTGGATTACTTGATCAATGGAATGTATGTGGACTCAAAGATGTGAAATGGTGGGGATAAAACAGTGGGCAGAGATATGGAGAGAGATTGAAAGGCTGCCCGACTTGTTTTTTTCTCCTATTTGCCTATGACACAAACTGAAAGTGCTTCCAAATTTACTTCTGGTGCAGTTGAGGAAAAATGCCATGTACTCTATTAAGATTTTAAAAAAACCAATTTTTTTATTCAATTGTGCAACATGTTGCTGTGAAAAAAAGTTGTAATTTTTAAAACTCCCATAGTGCACAGTAGGTTTGGCCATTCTTTTTCATGGTAAAATAAACCCAACAAGGGATAGGTCATCATCTTGGATAAATGGTATAGTGTTTTTTCAACTGTTTGCAGTGCAAGTTCCTTGTGTTCCCTTTGTTTCTCATATCCTCCTCCAAAAACAGGAAAGGATGCTTTCATGTTTTGCAAAGTGTTCTGAAGTTATCAGGTGAGAAGTGTGGAATATTGCTGTAGCAGGGAATGTTTAATCCAATGTGTGTCATGTCTCAGTATGCCTCTTGCTTGTAAAAGACTTCTGTTTATAAGACACTATAAACTCTGTTTACTGCTCACACAAGGTATCTTTTCACCATGAAGCAGATTACAGTGCTGCTGAACTTATCTCGTTTTTGTATTCACATAATAAATGGGGCCCTGGAAGGGCATACCTTGTTGCTTTTTTGTTTTCATTCCTGTCTCTGCCAGTTCTGAAGTGGGCAGGGGAGATTTTGGGGCTTAAGCAAATTAGCTCTACTTCAATATTCCAAGTACAGAGGCTTTGAAGACCTCACTGGAAACATAGACATAAGATGCTGATCATCTTCTGGGGTACTCCTTCTCTAGTTTCAGAGCAGTGTGCTGATAGTCTCCTAGGTATGCAGATCTGTTCACTGCGTATTATCTTTCATGCATAGAGCATCAGGCTCTGGTTTGGTTTTTGTTTTGCATTTAGGACCAGCTCAGATTTGCTAGTATTTTTGAAACTTTACTGCATGTGCAGTTGCTGCTCACCTCCTAAGATCAGTGGCTGATAAAGTGAATAGAAAACACTTCTTTTTCAGCGAAGTATTCTTCAGTGGTTAACGTATCTTATTTCAAATACATAAATACCAATAGCAAAATGCTGGATCCAGATGCGTTGTGATTTGTGTTTGGGTGGTTTTTTTTTTAAACTGGATTGATAGCTTCTCTCTCACTTTCAATTACTTGACTTTTCTTTAATCCTGCTTACATGTAATTTTGAGGCTGAAAATAGGCAAACGTGGAGGGACCAAAAAAGGTTGAGGGACTGAATTTTATTGTATTTTAAGGTTATTTTTCATTGGCTTCCCCTCAGCAGAAGGGACCCAAAGCATGATTTATTTCAGGAGCCACCTGTGTGCAGTATCTATGCAACAAGGTGTTGGGGAGTTGAGTCCTTTGAGATTCTTGGGACTGTTTGCCTCTCAGCACAACTGTTCTGAGCTATTAGCAGATATCAGGCAGATGCTGCTCTAGAACTGCATAGTCCAAAGACTTATCTTTAACATAGGCATCCTAGGTTTCACCTTAATTGTATCACTTAAGCAGGTGAATCACTGACCACAGACCTAAGCACGTGATCTTCCAGTTTAACTCCAGATACTGAGATAAGAGCTGTCTCCTGGACTCCCTGCTGTCTTCCAGGTAGGAGATGGGTGTTACCTTGGATTCAGCTCACTGCTTTTTCTCCTCTTTTGGGCATCTCACATACATGCTTGTGTTTCAATAGGATGAATCCAGGCACTAGTGCTCTTATAATTTATCACTGCCTATGTAAGTGAATTCAGAGCTCTATGTCCTTCGTGTGCTGAGGACTCCAGAACTGGGCGCGGTACTCCAGGTGGAGTCTCACAAGTGCAGAGTAGAGTGGCAGGATCACTTCCCTCAACCTGCTGGTCATGCTTCTTTTGATGCAGACATGCAAGTCCAAAGCAATTAGAATTTATTTTCTCTCTTTCTACATTGGAAGTCACCAGAAGAAAACATTAATTTAGTTGTTTCTACCTCCATCCTGCTGTTTCTGTTTGGGCTAAGGTCAGCTTCCTAGAATGGCTCTGCTTGTTCTTGCTTTAGAGGCTGCAAATGGTAGTGAATCTATTGCATTTAATGGTGTAGTGTTGCAGAAATTAATTGTATGTTAGACAAGGAATTGCAACATCTTTGAAAGTTTGCTTACAGAATTCACAATATAATAATAGATGGCATGCTACCAAGTTACCTAGAAGATACCTGCCAAGTGACTGCCAAAACTAACATTCTGCTCCTGCAAAGCATAACATCTCTGATGTACATTGGGTTTCAACCTGCTGCATGGCCTCTTTCACAATAAAACACAGGAATATTCTGAAATTGAATTGATATTAGATTAATTATAAAAGCAACTTCCTTCTTATTTAATTGCCTGTGTTAGGAGTGTGTTCTAGACAGCAGAGAAGAAAGGAAGTAATGGACTATTGAAACATTTAAAGGAATAATAAGAATGAAGAACTTCTTGACTGCAAATGTGAGTTTGCAATTTGTCATGTGATGTCCAGAGAATTGGGGAACATATGCAGAATGCTTAAGCATGACCTTTGAGACAGCTAATTCATTTATTTGGGAAACACCTGGAGAGCTCTGGGAACAGAGGTGTTGTAAAGCTGGTTTCTCTGGATTTGTCTAGTGGCTGCTCATTTCTGGCATCAAAAAAAGAAAACCTGAGTCCTGCCCTACTGAACCATTTCTAAGGGCTTTTTCCACTGTGGGCTGTCTGTTATGCAGTAAAGATCATATTGCAACCATCTCCCTTGACCAGGGCAATTCTAGTTCACTCCTTTCCATGGCCTCTCAGTCTCATGAAACTTAATTACCTTTGTTCCTCTTGGCTGAAGCTCAACCATGGGTTCAAAACCTAATGTTTTCATCTTGCACAAAGTATGGGGTAATAAGTTTTTGCTTTTCTAGAAGAAACCAGGTTAAACAACAGCAAAGCTTAGAGCTGTAATGATTCCTGTCTGCTAGAAGGCCTAAGTAGTTCAGGGTTAGGACTCTGCTTTGACTTTTTGGTTTTGCTGGATAGCTAGTTGTTGTGGGAAAAGCTGGTCTTTGCTCTGCAGCTTTTTGGGTCAACGTCCTTGTAGTTTTGTGATCTTGGACCTTGTCTTTCTGTGCTTCTGTTAGGCTGGATAATATATTTAGAGCAGATGCCAGCAGGATGTGCTGCAAGGCAGGTCTTCTGAAGTGTGTCTGCTCAGCCTCCCTCTGGCAGGGAAACCTCAAACAGTCTGGGAAAAGAGAGTCTTCACCTAATCTGGGATTCCTTGTTTAGCCCTGGGTGATCTTCAACACGTGCCTTGGCTGGAGTTATGTTTAAATTGCAAAGTATGTTTGAAGGAGAAGTCCTTTGCTAGCATGTAGAACTTGCCCAACATCATGTTGGGGCAATTAAAAAGGCTAAAGCTGTTTGAATTGGGTTGTACAATCTGGTTGAAAAAGCAAACAAATTACTTGTCGTCATGAAAAGTGGCTAAATATTTTAACCTCTTTAAGCTAGGACAGGTGAAGTCCATTATTTGGGTTTGAAGGTCATTGACTTAGGCTAGTGGTTCCTGTTCTTTACTGTGTGCAGATGAAATGGTAGAGCCCAAACTTGTGACTGTAAACACTGTTACACCTTCCTGCATAACTCTTATAACACTAAGGAATGGAGAAGAAAGAAATAGGGTTTTATACAGTGTGAAAATGCTCACATTTAGGTATATTTCTGAGCAATTTTGCTTATCCTTCATCAATGCAACTAAGCTGAAGTTGGTAGCTGAATAATGATTAATGTAAACTGCAGCATGGGGCAGGAGTTCCTCATGCTTATGGGAAACTGAGACACCTTTTATTGTAGTAGGGGAAAGGGGAGGTGCACAGTGGCTGGCAACTAGTCCTGCACCCTTGTGTCATCAGGCAATAACATATATCCTTGGTATGGTGTTGCGGCAGAGGCGTTGGTGAGGGAAGAACGCAAGCAATCAATATGATTGATAAAGCAAAACTTCTCCTTTATTAGAAATAACAGGCACTTATATACTCTCTTCCCGTATCTACGTGTCCAGAACTACACTTATGATTGGTCAATTGTACTAAAGCCTGCTACGATCTAACCAGTGATTGATTCCTAGCCTCAGGCACACACATGCTCAGAACTCTCCACCTCACTTCCTTCTTTGGCACATCCGGTTGTTTACTTCGTTGCTCACTTCTATCAGCTGGTTCCCATGAGAAAATCCTTGGTCACTGAGGCCCAGGTGTTCTCAGTGAAAGCTGGATTGCTTACATATCCATTGTTTACCAAACAACCCTCAACAGTATGGCATGGTACCTTATATGATCCAGGTATTGCCAGGAAGCCTATGATGAGTCTGTAAAGTGCCAGCAAAGAGATTTTGCTCAGGGAGGAAGATTTGCTGCTATCAGTGCACATGGCAGTACTGTTGGGGAGCAGCTGAAATCCTTGCTGATGACCTTAATCAGGTAAAGGTAAAGCCTATAATGTAGTTATTTGTTAATATGGCTATTCAAGGTGCGCAGGGTAAATGGAAGAAATGTGTGCTCTGGATGAGTATCTGACCACTTCAATTATGGGGACCTGTTGCTGGTAGAGGATAGCTCTGATTTGTCCTGCATGGTGGATATTTGCAGCAGTAAGAGATGAGCAGCAGCATTTGTGCTACAAGCCAATGTCTACACACTGCAGGCAAACAGGCTGTCTGACCTGTAGGATAAAAGCCAGCTCTTCTAGCACATTCTCCTGTTTTCTGGGTCAAAGAGTATTGCAAGGACACAGTAAAAGCTGAAGAAATTTTTTTGGGTTTTCTTTTTGTTGGTGTTTTTTTGTTGTTGGTTTTTTTTTCTCATTTATTGATATTCCTACATTACTTCAGTATTTAGACCTAAAGAACATTGGAAGAAATGAGCTTCCCTGGAGTGGGTCAGTTTTTACTGGAGCTTTCCCTAAGGCTCAGCCCC